ACACCCAGCCCCGGAATTGCCCTCCGCACAGCATCGTGGGCCGTGGCCACCTTGGTGACCTCCTTAGCGTCCACGTGGCTGCCTCCCCGTGGGGACATCAGAGGAGACTTTCACGAGGGACTGCCCGTCTCTGAGCCCCCAGCCAGGTGAGCCCTAACCACTTGCCATCCCTGTGTGTCCCCTGTCCCACACCAGGCCATCCTGACCCCCGTGATCCAGGGCCCGACGGTGCAGGCTGAGTCACGGGTACCCACACGCCCGCTCAGGGCCTTTGGAGAAAGACCTGCCTCAGAGCGAGGGCCGCGGGCTCCGACGAGAGGGGAGCCGGTGCCAGGGGTGCCCGGGGGAGCCCCCGGCCCGCAGAGAGGGCCTGAGAGCCAGAGGAGCCGTGACCCGGGCCTGTCTGGGCCTGCTGACCCGCGTCTGGCGGGAATTCTGTCCCATTGTGCGGAGCGTTCTTATCGGCCAAGGCAGACGGCCCCGTTCACAGACATCTGCCAACCCTTGTCCCAGGCCGGGCTTGGGTTTCCGTGGGAGGCGAAGGCCAGTGTCGGGAGACGGGCGACACCGGAGGGGCGGCTCTGTTTACACGCCGCAGTGCGCCCGCCGGCTCCCGGGATCCTGTGTCTGTCTGTGCGCAGGTGGCGGGGACGGGGCGCGGCCCTGCTCCCACCGTGCCCGACAGCCACCTTCCTCTCCCCTCCTTCCCCCTCCCTCCCCTTCCCCTCTCTCTCCTCCCTCCGTGTCTCCTCCCTCCCTCCCTCCTTCCAGCGGACCGTAGGGTGCCCTTCCTGGTACCCCCACAACCGGTGACGTGCCCGGGGCACAGGGGCCCTGTGGGAGCCCCTCAGAGTCCTCCTAGCCTGGCCTGAGGCCCGGCAGGCTTCCTGGAGGCAGTGGCATGTGCCCAACACCTGGCCTGAGACCGCACACGCGACTGGTGCTCCGTGGATTCTGGTCGCATCCAGAACACCTCAGATCACACGATGCCGCCGCACACACCCAGCAGGCAGGGGGGGGGAGGGGGGACGGAGGGACCCACCGAGTTCCGGAGAAGACGGGGAGCGCCTGGACCCCGCCCGCTGCATACAGGCCAAACGTGGGTGCCCAGCCCTGGCGGCAGGACAGACGGCGAGGCCGCTGCCGACAGAGTAAACCGTCGGTCCCCGAGACCCAGCAGCCCCACTTCCGAGCATGTGTCTCTGTGCCTGCGGCCGTCACACGTGTTCGGAGGTTTTGTTCAAAGTAATCAAACCCTGAAAACGACCCAAGTGTCCCCAACAGTCGATGGATAAATAAGCCCGTGCCCCCTCCCCTGCCGCCGTGGGGCTCTGCTTGGCAGCCCAGGGGAACGAACAGGGCGCACACGGAGCAGGAATGACGCGGACAGACACCACTCGAGAGGAAGAAGCCAGGCGTTTATTAAAAAGCATCCACTGCCAAAACCGGTTTGGCTCGGTGGTAGAGCATCTGTCTGCGGACTGAAAGGTCCCAGGTTCTATTCCGGTCAAGGGCATGTCCCTTGGTTTGCGGGCACGTCCCCGGTAGGGGGTGTGCAAGTGGCAGCTGGTCAATGTTTCTCTCATCGACATTTCTAGCTCTCTACCTCTCTCCCTTCCTCTCTGTAAAAAATAAATAAAATATATATAAAAAAAAAAAAAAAAAAAAAAAAGGCATCCACTGCCGCTATTCTATGAGATTTAAGTCCAGGAGAAGCTGATCTGTGCAGATAGAAATCAGGATGGTGGAGGGGGCGGGGGGTGGGGGGATGTGTCGGTGGCTGGAGCACCCCGAGCTAGCCCTGGGTGCTGGAAAACACTGTACCGTGATCTCTGACAGATACACACACACACACGGAGGTGAACGCTTTAAAATGATGCTTTTATGAGATGGAAATTGCACCCGGTTTTAAAAACACATTCACATGGGGCGGGGGACCCTCAGCAGCAGGAGACCCTGGGCAGAGAGTCTGGAGGCTTCCGAGGGGGCTTGATGATGAGGCCGTGGGACAGCGAGAGGGTGGGGGGCAACAGGGGGTCCCGGAGGTTCCAGGGAACCCCTGGGGGTCGGCGGCGAGGGGGCCGAGGAGAGGCCGGGGCTCCGGGAGGCGCTCGGCCGGGGCGGCAGGCCTTCTGGCCCCCGCGTGTGCCGGACTGAGAGCCCAGGCCCTGGCCCGGCCCGCCCGCCGCTCTCCTCACACACCCCGAACACCTCGACGACAGGGCTTATCTTGGTTTCTTGGCACAGCTGCCGGCATTTCATGGAATGCTCTTGGGGAGAAAGGTCTCTGATGGGGAAGAGCAGATAATGAAACGGAAAAAGAGCGTTCAGTGAGGCAGAGCCACGAGGGGGGGGGGGGGGGGGCGGCCGGCGCGGTGTCAGCCAGCGCTGCCCCTTCCCAGCTCCGGACCGCGGCCGCCGCCGGCCTTTACCGGCACGCCCACGAGGAACCGGAGGGTGAGCCGGGACGCGGCCGGACTGGAGAAGGTGGATGGAAGGCGAGGAGCAAACCCAAGAAAGCGGGGTTCCTCGGCGACTGGGAAAGCCAGGGGCTGGGGAGCGAGCTTATTGACATGGAAGACCCCTCCAGAAAGCCCCTTGGGAACTGGGGGGAAGAGGTGCCGCTTGGGGGAGGCAGGTTTGAGATCCATGGACACCCCCATCTTGGACAGTTTATTCTCCGGAGGAGCCAGCACGGTTGAGGGCCCGGGTCTTGCCAAGACCAGCGTGACAGCTTACGTGACCCTTTGCACCCCTCCTGCTTCCCCAGCTCAGCTCCCAGCACCCCAGCCACCACAGCCTCCCCCTGGTCCGAGAGGCTCCGCTGGGCATCCTACACGTGCCCTGAGCGTCCCGCCTCCGGGCCCTGGCTCATACTGCTCCCTCTGCCTGGATCACCGTTCCTCCCCTACGTGCCTGTCCGAGCCCCCAAACCCCACCTCTGGCAGCTCCTCCTCCAGGCAGCCCTCCCAAACCTGAGACAGAATGACTGCCCCGACCCCTGGGTGTATCTCCGTGGCCCTCTGACCCTCTGGTGTGGTCCTTAGGGCCGTCTGCCAGGCGTGGGCATTAGTCACGTGCCACCCGTTGTCCCCACTTCCCCCGGGGGCTGTTGGAGGCAGGGACCATGTCTTCCGTCCATCGCACCCCTGTGGAGCCTGCACAGGCCCTGATACCAGCGGGGCTGGGCTGAGCGAGGGGAAGAGCCCCCGCCGTGGGCTGCGGGGTCCGAGGCTCCGGCCGGTGGAAGGCCCAGCCGCCCTGCCTGGCAGCACGTGGCTGCAGACGCCGGCGGCACAGCGGGCGCGGGAAGGGAGCACGCTCCTCCCCGAGGCCTCTCTGCTCAGACCCGGTGACTCATCCCCACCAGGGACTCTGCTCTCGAATGCTCCGCGAGGCAGTGCTGGTCTCCGGCCAAGCAGGAGAGGGCAGGGGCCGGCTGCTCCGCCCACAGCCTGGGCCGCGGCCTGGCTGGAGGAGAGGCTGGCATCCTCACCCCCTGCCCTCCAAACATCTGGTCTCGGGATGCCAGGCGCACAGCTGCAGGGGCGGGCAGAGGGTGGCATCGGGTCCCACTTGGGGGCAGTGAGGGTGGGCCCAGGGAGCTGTTTTATGGCTCCCAACCTCCCTGCTCCCCCCCCCCACACACACACACACGCACACAGATTGGCCTGGCTGGGGGAGAGGCCTGCCAGGGGGCAGAGTTGGGGAGATGGGGGCAGAAGGAGCCGCTGCCCAGGCTGTGTGACCTCCTTCGTGGGAGGAGGTGCTTATGATGAGGTCAGTGCTCAGACCGAGGGACCACACTGCCCTTTGCCCTGTCCCCCGCTCCAGGCACCCCCTCCCCACTCACCCCAGCCCCTAAACTCACAAGGAAATGACTGACCGCTCCCAAGCCCCTCCCCAACCCTCACCCCACAGTCTTGCTTGCTGTCCTTTTTCAATATATCTATCTAGATAGATAGATAGATAGATAGCTATAGATAGATATAGATATAGATATATTGTAGATATAGATATAGATATAGTTCTAGATATAGTTCTAGATATAGTTCTAGATATAGATATAGATATAGTTCTAGATATAGTTCTAGATATAGTTCTAGATATAGTTCTAGATATAGTTAGTTATAGATATAGATATAGATATAGATATAGATATAGATATAGATATAGATATAGATATAGATATAGATATAGATATAGATATAGATATCACTCGTTTATTTCTTTCTTTAAAAAAATGCTCATCATAGAAATAAATAGAAACCCCCCCCCAAAAAAAAAATCTGGGCGCTAGAAGAGCAGGAGGAAGTCTACAGTCACAGGGAAGGGGCAGCAGGGGGAGAAGACTGCTCTATTTGCTCAAAAGCACCCGGAATAGCTCCAGACGCGCCCGGAGGAGGGGCAGCACGGGCTGCATTTGGGGAGCCGGGGGGAGGGGCGGCTGGCTCACTGTGCACGGGACACCCCCCTGAGGTTTCCCCGGGAGTAGGGGAGGGAGGGAGGTGAAGCGGTCAGGAACACCCCACGGCCACCCTCCTGCCTGACCCCCGTGGCCAGTCCGGGCCCCCGTTCACCCTGCGGTAGTGTGAGGGAGAGCACGCGTACTCCGGCAGCTGGCGTGCTCACGGCGCGGCTTATTGCCAAGAGAGCGCAGGTCGGAATCGGCTGTGCCCGCGGTCACCGGCAGTGCAGGCTCCTCCCGACATTGGCACCGGAACCCCCACGCCCTGGCCCCTGAGTTCTCATCGGGCTCCGCTTCCTGGACGCGCCGGCCACCCACATGCCGGGCCTCTGTCTCCAGCTCCCCGCCGCCCGGCCTGCAGCGGACACCGCCCGGCCCAGAGCCCCATCGCACGTCCCCGTGTCAGACCGACGGGGCCCACGGCCCCAGGGACACAGGACGCACCCACCAGGGAGCTCCTTCCCGAGCCCAGGGCCACAGCAACGTGGCGAAGGGGCCGGTTCTCCCGCAGGTCACCGGCCTCCAGGAGGGACGTGGGAGGGACAGACTGTGCGGTGTGTCCTGGAAGGTCAGTCTCAATCTTCCTCTGCCCCCACTTCCCTTCCCGCCAGCCTCACGGCTCCACCGTCAGGTTCTCCCGCCCCAAGTAAACCTCTTCCCAGGGCTCTGTTGGGGGAACCGAGGCAGCTGCCTGCACTTGCTCATCCCTCGGGCAGGGGGGCAGGAGGTGACGGAGACGGGGGGTGACTCTTGGTGGCGGGCTGGCTGTGGTGTGGTCACATCTGCTCTTGTGCCCCCCACCCAACCCCTCTGGTTCACCCCCACCTCCTTCTGCAAACACGTTCACAAAGAATTGGAAGCACAGGACGTCCTAAAGCGAGACCTACCCCGGGTCACTCACTCCACCAGGGGGCCTGGGCCGTGGCAGGCGGGCAGCGGGGGCCCCCCTACCCCCCAGCGTGGGCGTGGGATGGAGGGCGTGATCGGGGCAGCCCCGCTCCGTCTAGGTGGGCCATCGTCCGCTCTGCCGTGGGTGGGGCACCGGGGTCCTTTGCCGGCCCTGCTCCACGGCCCCCGGCCCCTTCGGACTCAGGGTCTGGCATCTCGGGGACAGCGCCCTCCGGAGGGGACGTGCCCAGCGTTCGGAGAGGCCCTAGTCCTCCTTGGGTTTGGGGGGCTGGTGCCGCCGGGCCAGCCTGTACTCGATGTACCTCCCGAGGCAGGACCACAGGAGGAAGCGCGCCAGCAAGATGATCACCAGCAGGACCATGAGGGGGTCGGGGCCCGCGCTCCCCGCGGCGCCGGAGGCCATGCCGAGGGCGGGCGGCCCCAGGAGCAGCAGCGAGGTGCTGTGGCCCAGGCCACCGCTGGGCCCGAGCTCCGGGCAGGGCTCCGCCAGGTGCCCACCCTGCGGCCGGGGACTCAGGACACGGGGCGTCTCCTAGGCCACGCGCCCGCCCGGGCCTGCCCTGTCCCCTCCGCAGCCCCCAGCAGCCGGCCTGCAGCGCAGGGCCTCCCTGGCTGCGAGGGGACAGCCGGGGGACGGCGAGCGGCCTCCGTGGTCAGAGGCCCGCGCGGCCTTCACCCAGCGCGGACGGCGCTCGGGGCCGACAATGACCGCATTGTCAGGGCCCAGGGCGGGCGGCCGCCGGGCCTCCCCTCCGCCCGGCCCCTGCTCGCGGCGCTGACGTAATCTGCAAACGGCCCCGGCGGCAGCTGCCGGGCGGAGCTGGCCACCTTCTCCGGCTCTTTCAGCCGCCCACGCCGCTCTTCCGCCCGCAGACAATCGGGCCCTTTCTCTCCCCAATTAGCTAGCGCTGCGGAGGCCGCTGGCCAGCGCCCGGCTCCGGCGGGGAGGCCGGGAGAGAGCTGTGCGAACGGGAGGGAGAGGAGAGACGGGGCGAGAATGAGGGCGGCCCCCTCGAGCCCAGGGGGACCCCAAACACAGCTCAGTTAGCACATGGGCTGCCCACTCCCGCCCGGGACAGTGAGGGGGCCGTGCAGTCGGAGACAGCACAGCCAGGAAGGATGCCCAGTGCCCCCCTGCCTGCCACGCCGGCAGACCGAGGCCGGGACAAGGTCCCCGGCAGGGGCTGGGCGGGTCAGTCCCGAGGCGCCCCCCTCACCCCTCACAGCGACCCTCAGCCCCACACCAGGTTCCACCGCAGACTCACTGAGTGACGTCGGACAGGCTGCTCAACCTCTCGGGGCAACGGACTCCTTATGGGGGGCGAGGTGAGGGACACATCTGCTTGCAGGCCTGCGAGAGGATCGGGCAGAGTGTGTTCACGCCAGGACCACACGGTGCCCAGAGTCAGACTCTCCACCTCCCTCCTCCCCACAAAAGACGAGGCCCTGAGAAATGTCTGCCCACCCTTCTCCGCCACACACACACACACACACACACACACAAGCACACATGCATGCACACATGCACACTCACCAGGACACACACCTGTACAGACTCAGCCCACCGCCAAGTTCATCTCTGGCCTCTCAGAGCCAAGCTTGTTGGGGTAGACACAGCCTAGGTCCCTCCCCTACACCCACCTGCCACCCCTTAACTCGCAGGGGCCCCATGGCACTCAGGGCCCTGCGAGGAGTACAGGTCTCAGGTGGCCTGTCCAGGAGTCGAGAAGAGGTCTGACCAGCAGGAACCTGAACCACTGCCTGGAGCCCTTTGCCTTCAAAACAACAATGGGCTCCCACCCAGCCTTTCCGGGAGATTCTGCAAACGCAAAGGCCTAGACCGGAGCATACCTGACAGGGGGCAGAGGGACCGGCTGGCGCACTCCCTCTGGGTCTTCACACGATCACCCCAGCGAACCCCAGGCCCCCACCGAGCTCCCCATGGCTCCTCTGCCATCCTGGGCCCCGGCCCTGGCAGCCCAGCTCCCACCAAAGGCCGTCTGGACCCCATGCTGGGCCCGCCTTGCTCTCTGGGGGGCTGTACCCTTTTCTGTCCACAGAGCCCCAGGCCTGCCCCTGGCGGGGGTCCCCCACTCTGGCTGAAGGGCCCCCTCAGCGAGCATTCAGCTCTGGGTCCATTCACAGGCGCAGAGGTTTGAAGATCACACACACACACACACACACACACACACACACACACACGGGAACTCTGATCACAGCCAGCTTCCGCGGGACATGCACCGACGGGCTTCCAGGGCCCCTCGGAGGCCCCTCAGACGCCTCACCCGCCGGGTGCCCTCCTGAGACGCCCACCTGCCTGCGGGATGACCAGCGGGAAGGTGGCCAGGAAGGCGGTGGGAGAAGAGGCCGGTTCCCAGCAGCGCCTCACGGACCTGGGAGGCCGGTCCCCGGCAGGCGCGGGCACACGCAGGGCCGGCCGCTCAGCCGCCCGCCCCGCAGCTCCCACCCTGCGGGCGCCGACAGGCGGCCTGGGATAAATCTGTTTGCCCAGCTCCCGGCGTCAACAGCGCCCCGTCACGTGACTCTCACAAGGACACTCAGGGTCACAGAGCCCCCTCCCCCCCATTCCTGCTAGGACTTCCCGGCTCCTGGGAGTCGGCGAGGCCAAGGTCAACAAGCCCTCCGGGGAAGGAAGTGAATGGCCCTGCCCTGGGCAGGGTCACGGCCGGCCTGGGGCTGCCGTTTTGAGAAAGAACTGCCTGCTGCAGGTGCAGGGCCTTCCGTGGATGAGGGGCGTCGCCCAGGAGGAAACCGTAATGAGGTGGCAATGAAGGCACAGCACACGGGCCAGCTCTGCAGGCACTGCTCACGGGGCACCCCGTCTCCATGGAGTGGGCACCCTGTGCTCCCCATTCCCGGGGAGGAAGTGCCCAAGACACCCCCACAAGTAGCAGTGACGGTGGGCCTGGGCCACGATGCTCAGGGCTGCACCCCATGCCTGGGGCCCTGTCACCGCCTCCGTGCCCTGCCCTCTGACTTCAAGGTCCCTTCACTCTCCACTCAGCTCTTCTTGGGGGGATGTCCTCAGCTGGGGGAGCCCCCGAGCACACAGAGCCGGAGCGCCCCGGGATCGGCACCACCACCTCCCCTCCCCCCCAGGCTGCCCGTCACCAGGCACAGGCCACACGGCGGGCGAGGAGAGCTCCCACTGGGCCAGGACAAACGCAAAGGCCACGCTCAGCTGCCAGAAGGCCCCTCGCGACCATAGTGAGCCGGGGCTGTGCCCGATCCACACCCCTCCTTGGCTTTTCCCCCCTTTCCTCCTGCCCTCCCACCCACACCCCCACTTCCTCCCGGGTGCGCCACCTCTCCGAGCCCCTGCCAGCACGCAGCCCGGGACCAAGGGGACGAAGGGGACCGGCGTCCCTGTCCGCAGGAGCCGGCATTGGCTACAACTCCCGGGGGGCGCTCCTGCCCTGGCCGCCAAGGACAGATTGGGGCCCAGGTTAAACTCGGGGTGCAGGTGGCTTGGAGGCCTTTCTACACCCAAATGCCCCCTCCCCCCCCCCCCCGGTCCCCCAGTGAAGCGGGCGCCTGCACGTCTTCCCTAGTCGCCCCTTAACAAGACGCTCGGCAGCCGAGCCCTGTCCACAGGCAAAGTCTGTGGTGGGGGCTGGGGATGGAGGCACCGCCTGGTCCCACCCAGGGACCCGCTCCCCCTGGTGTGTTGTGGTGACAGTGCCGGCACCAGCCCCACGGGCCCCATTCCAGTTGCTTGCTCTGTGGAAGTCGGGCCTCCATCAAGGTGTCCCTGCCGTGCTCCGGGCCTCAGCTTCCTCATCTGTAAAATGGGACACTAGCCCCTCCCCCATGTTCTGTACACAAGGCGGGGGGGGGGGGGGGCGGCGAGAGGAGGGAGGGAGAGCGCTCTGCAGGGGGCAATCACTGCTCCGATGCCATAAGGACCTGGGGACTTGCCAGACTCAGAGGCAGGACTGTGAGTGACACTGAGTCCTCTCACACCGGTCCCATCCACCATCATATCACCCTGGCTGTTGGTCGGTTGGTTGGTTGGTTGGTTGGTTGGTTGGTTCGTTGGGGCGGGGGCTGGGGGTGGATTTGCTTTCATCGCAGCACCAACATCCCTGAGGTCCGGGGTGTATTTCTGGATGGGAGCTCTCCCCGCGTCCCCCCGGCCGACGCGGCTCCCGGCACCGGAAGGCACACGGGGGAAGGCGTTGTGTGCTCAGCGCGGGGAGCCCGGTTACGGGAGCACGTGTGCTCCGTGGGCGGCCTGTGAGCCTACGGCAGCTCTGCACTCAGCCCAGGGTCTCGGCGGCCTTGGCATCCCAGTGAAAAGCATCGGCGTTGTCTTCCTTCTGCACAATCAGGATGTGCTGCCAAAACCAGTTCGGCTCAGTGATAGCGTGGAAGGTCCCAGGTTCGATTCCAGTCAAGGGCAGTGTGCAGGAGGCAGCTGATCGATGTTTCTCTCTCATCGGTGTTTCTAACTCTCTATTTCTCTCCCATCTTCCCCGTAAAAAAATCAATAAACTGTATTTTTTAAAAGCCGGGCTGCTGTTACACAAGGAAGGCGGTCACTGGGGACGTGTGTGTGAGTTAGAAATCGACGTGGGCCGTGGTTTCTGCCGAGACGGGCGAGGGCAGCCGGGGGCACTGAGGCCCAGGGCGAAGGTCCGGGGTCCATCTGCCTCTGCCCCCTACACACCACATCCCACGCCCAGCACGTGCACGGCAAACCCCGTTCCCACCGGAACCCTGCGCTCGCGGGCTCCCGGCCTTTGAGGTCTTGAGTGCATGGCTGGAATGTGGACACTGATTTACTTTCCTCCTGCATCACAAAAGCAGATTACAATTCCAACACACAGCGCTTCTCCGGGGAGGGAAGGCCCCTCGGCCCTCGCTCGCCTGCCCCCCCCCCCGGGCTGCCCCCCTCCCGCCCCCGCCCCCCGCGTCCCCCACCGCGTCTGGGGCCGGAGCGCAGAGCCAGACGGAGAATGCACTTGAGAAAACCCGCTCGGCAGTTGAAAGCTGGTATGTAACTCCGCTCGCGGTGATCAAACAGCTAGTCAGGGCCGCTGTCAGGAACAGAATGAAATTCCAAATAAATTAGCCATGTCCGAGGAGCCGATACAACACTGGATTAAGGCTCACAAAGAAAACGCAATTTATTCAGCCTACCTTGTCAGAATCCTTAATAACCCGCTCCATGGTTCTCACCTCCTCGGGCTGGGAGCCCCCGGCGGGAGGGGGCAGCTCGAACCCCACTGGGAGCCAGGGGCTGCGGGTCCTCGGGGGGCACGGGGTGTGCCCACGGCCTAAGGGGGCATCTGTAAAGCTGGGCCGTGAGGGTCGCTGCAGCAGAAGCCATGCCGGCGTGCGGGGGGGCACGCTGTTGGCAGGCCGGGCAGTTTAGACGTTAGAACACGGACTTGGGGGCCAAAGAGAGGAAGAGGAACCACTTTGGCTTAATTCTTTGGGGGGAGGGGGGAGGAGCAGCACCGAGCACATGCCCGCTGGCCTCGCCAGTG